CCTTCAAAATGAGGGGTTACTTGATAGGTCTTTGTATTTGAAATTTTTTAGTTTCCCCCAAAATCCCCCATTTTGGGGATGTACACCAAGTGACGGTTATGCCCAAAAAGTACTTCATAACATGCCATAAAGGTGTGCCGAGTTTAGTTTTTCTAGTATGGGCCGTTAAAAAAATAACAGGGGGTCTCCACACTTTTTACTAACCCTGTATATAAATGTTTTAAGTAAATAAGCGATTTTCGGTACTAGGGCTGGACAAATTTAATTACAACTATAGCTGCCATTTCGACCCTGGACAGATAGCTTTCAGCCTCCAATTAACGTCTGTAAAACTACTAAAACATCGTAGTGTGGTGAAAAATATTTGCCAATCATACTCAATTGACTCGGAACACTGCTGTTTCTGATTTAATTAAGGGTATTATTAAAAAGTAAAAGTACTCGTGCAGTAATCAATTAAACAGGGTAACGAATTGAAGGATAGATACAACTAGACTATAAGGACGCAAAATACGCGTATAGGTACAACTAGTCGTAGGTACAACTAGTCGTAGGTACAACTAGTCGTAGGTACAACTAGTCGTAGGTACAACTAGTCGTAGGTACAAAACTAGTCGTAGGTACAACTAGTCGTAGGTACAACTAGTCGTAGGTACAAAACTAGTCGTAGGTACAACTAGTCGTAGGGACCATTACCCTACGACTACGTAGGGTAGTCGTAGGGACAACTGGTCGCGTCCGTACAAGCTAGGTGATACTACTTGTCGGTGGGATACACGTCTAGTTGTACCTACGTCTACTTGTACCTACATCTAGTTGTACCTCCTAAAAATCTGCAGGTACAACTAGTCGGGTGTGCCACCGTCTACTTGTACCTACGTCTAGTTGTACCTACGACTAGTTGTCCCTAGGTCTATGAGGTACAAGTAGACGTAGGTACAAGTAGACGGCGGGACAACGAGACGCGGTCCCAGCCGGGCTGTAGCCGGGAGGAGGGTGGAGTTTGGGAAAAGACCGGACTGCAAACATTTAAGCTGCCTCCCGGGGTTGTCTGTTGTCTCCCCTTGTTATGTACTCTTGAGCGCCTTTATATTGGTCGCGAGGACAGTTGATGCAACCCGCATAATGTTTTTGAACTAGTTACTAGTAGCGATAGGCCAAGTGTCAGCTTAGATGTCACGAGCTGTACTTAAGAGATTTTATCTAATTTTGTAGGCAGCAAATTTAATTAGGTACGAACAAAATATATTATTATAACAGATACGTACCCTTGATTTTGGGTGATATATAGCAAAAACAACATGTGGCGTAGAGGAATTTATCAAATTTTCAACTATAACAGATGATATCTTCAAGACTATTTATATAAGTTATCGAAGTGGTTTTTATCTCATTTTATAGCATATATATAATAGTGAACAAAACATGTTATATACAAAATGGCGTAAATGTGTCCTTTTGTGTGATATTAGGCCATTTTCAATCCCTCTAAAGAAAACCAAGATGGTGTCGTATTTCAAGATGGCGGACCTGAAAATCGGGAACCCCCCCATAAATTGTCCGTATTTAGGGTATGGAAGAAACGTGCAAAAAAGGTCTGTAGCTTTAATCCATCAGGTCACGCATTTCGGTAAACCACCACGCTATGTAAATTGGTATTGGTGAAGAATTAAGGAAGATTTGGTATGCCGACAAAAAAGAGCACTTTAGAAATTACTAGCTGTAACCCGCGGGCTTTGCCCCGTTTAACTTCTTAATTTTCAAGATGATCTCGTTCGCATGGCTCAATCACGTCCTGGTTGAAGTTCGTTCGCTACGCTCACTCACCTTTAGGTTGGAGCTCGTTCGCTACGCTCACTCACCTTTAGGTTGGAGCTCGTTCGCTACGCTCACTCACCTTTAGGTTGGAGCTCGTTCGCTGCGTTCACTTGCCTTCAGGTTAGCTCGTTCGCTACGCTAACTCGCCTCCACGTCTCCAGGTTGAAGTTCGTTCGCTACGCTCACTCACCTTTTGGTTGCAAATTAGCTGTTGTCATAAATGTAAAAGAAATAATAGTGCTGCACCCTTTTGGTAATCCTTGTAACTTTAATGCTATTGAACATCATAGAACAGAACCAACTTGTTTAATTGAAACAGCTGTTAAGATTCATTAATTCCATTTCTCATAAGGTTAACATGGGAAACTCCAGAGCCACTGGGGCGGAGCCGATTGGACGGATCATGAAATTGATGGTGTATAAACCTATTCCATGAAATTCTACACGTATGTACCAAGTTTCGTGGCAATCGGTTCAGCGGTGTCTGAGTTTATCACTTCCAAACGAATACATATATATACAAACATCCTCTTTTATACTTATAGATAATATAATATATAGATATTTAAAATATTTAACAAATTTGACAACATTTGATGAATGAAATTTAACGTTCCGTTTTGAAAATGACTACCTTAGTAGTCGAAACTAGTCAACGGAAGTTCGACTGAGGAATTGTGGACGTCAAGATACGTAACCTGTTAGCCTATAACTTATTACCAATTCTGGAAGGCTTCAACATGAATAAAATAATGTTATGATGGACTGTTCCAACATTTGTAATTGTAATTTACTTTTTTACTATCAGTTCAACGGTTATACACCTGTTACGTACGGTACTTGGTACTTACTTACTTACTGCCGTGGCTCCACATATCTCAGTTGATTCTTCACCTCGTATACCAGCCTCTTCCACTTCCACCCTTCTCTGTCTTCTACCAAGTTGACATTTACACCCATTGTCCTGATGTCGTTCAATAATTGGTCTGTCTATCTCAATTACGGCCTTCCCAATGGACGTTTACTTCCAGGTGTGGCTCTCCAAACTTCATACAGTCTTGTTCCTTTCTCTCTTTTTAGCACATGCCCTACCCAACTTAACCTTCTTCCTTTAACTATTGCAACAATATCTGGGTCGGTGTATAGTGATCTTAGCTCTCTATTTTTCCTTATTCTCCACATTTCTCCCTCCTGCACTGGTCCAAATATTTTTCTTAGGACTTTATTTTCAAACACCATGAGTCGGTTTTTATTTTTCTTGGACAATACCCATGTTTCACTACCATATAACAGAATAGGTTGAATTATTGTCTTATATAGCTGTATTTTGGTTCTGTGAGATAATACTTTAGATGAGGATGAGACCAACTTCTAACAGGCTTCCCAACACTTGGAGGGCCCTATTACACTTGGTCACCAGGCGACACCAGTTACTGTACGGGCAGCCAGCCTCACAACACCAGAAGTCACCAGGAGGTGCGCTCAACGTATCGGGAAGTGTGCAGGGAACGCATTCCACCTATCATAAAAAAAATTAAAAAAATTTAGACCAACCCCCTCAACTCCAGTGTCTACATACATTCAGCGCTGTCACCTCGTTGAAGGGCCAAGTGCTCTGTTATCCGCGTTAAAAAAATGTCCAGTGAACAAATATTAGTGAATAAACGGGAAAGAGAAGCAGGGAAAGGGAAAAGGGAAGACGACTCAGTGAAAGGAAGCCAGTCTAGTGTAAAATGTAGTGGTGAAAAAGATTCCAAGAAAGGGAAAAACCTAGTCTCCTCCTTTTCCTCATCAAAAGAGCAAGACGTAGCATTTCTTCATACTTTTCCGACATTACGTCCACTCACTACACTAGCATTAAACAATCTGAACTTGCAGAACACAAAAATACAGTGGTGACGACACCACGGTGACTGTGTGTAATATGTGCCATTTGATTCAGTACCCAGCGACAAATCGTGGTCACCAGTGGTTACTCATCTGGTCACGGGGCAGAGTCACCAGTCAGTCACCAAAGGCTGGTGACGCAACCGGTGACCCTAGTATAATAGGCGCCGTAAGAACCAGTGCCCACCAGCATGTCAGGTCACCAGTGATGTCTCCTGGTGACCAAGTGTAATAGAGCCCTTATTGGCATTTGATAACTTAAGTACCGGTATATCTTCATCTTCCGAGTTTCTACTATTTACAGTTACTCCTAAATATTTGTTAGCAAGAGTTGTCTTGATGCTTTCCCGTAGTGCGGGGTAGGAAACGCCTCATAGGTTGGCGTGAACTTATGAGGTAGGCGAAAGGCAGGCAACTCGAGCCCAGTCCTCCAAGGGCTTATGGGGGTTGGGCGTTGGGCCAACATCTAGTGCGGCCTTGCAACAACCTGCCCCGGAAAACATACCAGTTACGAAACGTGGTTAACAACAAGCCTCATTGTCCCAAATTAACATGTCAATCCGAGAAGAGAGGAAGTCCCAACTTCGATCTGTCGTCCACTGCCTTGCTTGTCAGAAAGTTTTGTAGGCCACTTTGAAACCGTTCTACCCATTTATAAACGTTTGAACGATTCCAACAAATGCCTCCACATAATTTTAACACTCCTTTGTGGATTTCACTACCTTTCTCAACAAAAAATCTGTTGACTACAAGTTGTTCTTCCACTGAGCAATTCTCCAGCGGACTCGCCACTATTAACTGAGTAAATTTGAGGTTATGTTTACAAAATATGATTGAACAGAGCTAATCAAATAATATTGTTGTTACAAAATTGCCAACTTCGTCCTGAAAGTTTTGTACTGATTCAATAAACTGTTTTTGAGCAATAATTAATTAATCACGTGCTTGAAATATGGTGTTCCCGAGTTGGACTTTGCCTCACACATGAAACTTGAGTGTGCACTAGAAAATGCCACTTTCGGTACTAGTAATGAAATATACTATTTCCCCATCAGGGCTTGTGAAATCCATCAAGGTCACCATCCACCTCAGGGTATTTCTAAATTAAACTACCAGGAGTACCAGGTTGCAGCACATGTCATTATTTTAGCGTTTAGTAGCTTTTGTTGAGTTACTCTCACTTACAAGATAGTTGTAAGTGGAAGCTTTGCCATGTAAGTCTTGTCTCAGATATAGTGGAGTTCAAATGCTTAAAACAATGTTTGAGGACTGGGAAAACACAAATCACAAGTAAAATGTACACCAGATGATTTATTTTAACAAGATCCTAATATCTAAAACACACAATTCTATTATACAAATCCATTTGATTAACTTAAACCAGAAGTTGAATACAGAAGTAAAGATCAAAATGTGAATTTTACATAGAAAATATTTGTTTAAATAACAGTTTTGTATAAAAGTTTTGTCCTAAATTTAACTGCTATGCAAATACTTTTAATATATTATATGTACATTATGAGACATCATTTTTACACTCTTAGAATATTACGTCAATTTCATCACTCGGTTATACTTTCAAAATATAGTTCTGGACTGTACAAAAATATTACTTCAGAGAAATTCAAACTATTAACAGTAATTTGATATTATACAAGTATTAAAATAACAAATCAAATATACATTTTTCAATACACTTTGAAAATCTTAAAAATAGTGCTATACAACTTTTTTTGTAAATAAATGTGAGATTTTTGTTATAAAAAGAATTTTTAGTTGTTTTTAGAGTAAGCCAATATACAAATTATCTTTGATTTTATTTCTTGTAAAGTGATCATGAAATTTAGGATGGTCTTCGACTAAAACTGCTTTTAGCTCTAAGGCCATGGGACCTCTTCATTGTAATTCTCACAAGACAAAAATAGAGGGATCTGATACAATTCAAATAATTATATTACAAATTACAGTCTACATTTGTAAAACATTTTAGATTAACGATATAACAGAACTGTAAGTAGATTGATTACAAACCAATGAACATAGATTTTAACCAAAAATGTTTAACAATGTTATCAATTATCATCCTTAAGAAATCATAACAAAAATTAATCCACTAACCACAATGTTGTACCAGAATTGTTTTTTAAATACTAAAGGTACATTTACTTATTGTAGATAAATCATGTATTGATATGAAATGGCACACAACTGAAAAACATTTATACTGCTATACAAATAATTAAAAATTAGTAATAAACATTGCCTTTCGTGCAAAAATGTGTTAAAAAAACATGTCTACTTAATCTGTCAACTTAAAATGGGGTTAAACTTATACAAATTTAGGTAAGGTTATATAAATTAAGCAACGTTAAATTCAAATATACAAATAAAATTGAATAAACTTCTTTTCATTGCTTCCTCACTTTAAAGAATTAAAGATTAGTTTATGTAATTAAAGTAAGTATCACAGTAGCATGGAGATTGGAGAATAAATTAAGCATTGTAGTAAAAAATCCAATTAGATATAAAAGATCCTAGCTGTGTTTCTCTTGTCCTAAACCCTTTTTATCTTCCTGTATATTTGACTAAAACAGCATATTGGTCATCAAAAAGTAACCATTACCCTAAGCTATATCCAGTATAAACTTTTATCTTCCTTTGAAAACCTTCTTTTAAGGATTTATAGGGGAAATATTTAAGGGAAGGTAAGTTTAAACTGAGGAAAGCCAATTTAATTGGAATATGTCACTGTACAGTGTACAGGTGCTGAAAATAGGAATGTTTAGGATAAACAGCGGCCTTTAGGGTTTTATAAATTAGATAATAAATAAATGCCAAATGGACATCTAAAGTTCAACATAGAATCATATAAGCCGTAAAACATGTAAATAATATTAATTTGTAATTAAAAAACTAACAGCGAGGAATTTTATGAACGGGATTTATTTGATGCAATACAATATAAAATATAAAATAAAATAGCTATCACATACACAAGTTCTCTCAGAAGTCATATTTCTTCTTATCACGATTTTAAAAAGAACTGCCTTGTCTCTTCTTTGTACAACTAATACTCTAAGAGTCAATATTGTAATCTAGTAATAATTTACCTTATGTTACATTTGTACAAACTATTTACACACAGTAACCCTGTCAATATTTTTACAAACTGCCTGTCCTAAACCAAATGTTCATGAACCGACACAGTTGTTCGACAGAACCTGATACTTACTGATCTACAAATATTTATATAAGGCAATGTTTCCAATTCGGAAAATCTAAATAAATTAAAATGTCATTAACTTTGGTGTATAAAATTCAATACAAAATCAGGTGTTCTACTTTGAAAATGCATGGTTTGAATTAAGTCATTGGTTTTGATATTCATTCAATGAATAATTACTTACGAATAAGTCAACACATATTATACTTACAAAACCAAGGTGCTTCGGTAGGAAATTTCAATCAAGATTTATTTATTGGTGAGATCAAACTGACAAACCTTACCCAAAATATAGTTACACTTGCTACTTATTGTCCACCAACTTGTCTCTCAAACCTTTCACTTTCTGCACAAAATACGCTTCCAAGGACTCAGCACATTTGAAGAATGGCGATTCTTTTGGGTTGTAATACCGGCAGTTGTCAAATATCTTGGTCATATCACCAATAAATTCACTTAATTTCTTGTACTGTCTTTCAGTTATCCTCAGCTCAATGGTTTGCAGGTCTGAAAAAATAAGAATTAAAATGGGCTTGAGAATAATCTTATAAGAGGTGCTATGTCTCTTTCTCAAACAAACTACTCTAATTTTTGTGCTAAGCATTTACTCCATTTTGTAAAGAAGTTTGATAAACATTGATTTTATTTTAATAAAAAGGTAGTCAGTTATAAATAAAGGACATGTGCCAAAATTATGGGAAAATACATTTTTGATCTACAGACGGGATACTTTTAATTTGGGAGGTTCTCCAAAGGATTTGTTCTTACTAGGGGTGGGCGAATACTCAACTTTTTGAGTAATTACTTGACTTTTTCCAAATACTCGACCCCGAGTCGAGTAGTAAAAACAACTCGAAAATTTGAGTTGAGCAGTTATAAAAAGTGCCACTTAATGATTTTTATACGCCCGTATTTAATAAATGATATTTGTTTTTGTATTGATGTCTTATTTAATCCCCATTGCTACAAAAAAACAACTATCTAACATGATATGTAGGCTAGTCCAGCGTAAACTAATAATAAATAGTACATACAAAGGCGGTTCACAAGCTTGGGACTTCATAGTCCGCGACCAGACGATAGTCCCGGACTATATAAGCGACGACAAAAAAAATGGGTTCACGAGACAGAGCGTAATGATATGAAAGCGGGGCTTATTTTTGGCCAAGCGCAAATCAAAGCAGAGCCTAATGGCAGGGCATTTTTGTTGAGAGGTTGGTAACAAAAGCCTGGTAACACATGTTAAGCCACATTTTGATCGTGGCAAAATTCTGATTATCTCCCGCGGTTGTGTAGACATTATCATCGCCTCCCGCAGAAACGAAAACGTTATCGTCGTCATGTGCGATCGTAGTAAAATCATGATTATCTCTCACGGCCGTTTAGACATTATCATTGTCTCCCACAATTTCGGAAACGTCATCGTCATTACACCATATCGTGGCAATATTGGTGTTTTAAGTGAGACGTGTTTTAAGTGTATTTCAAGTGTTTTTATTGATAAGATTCCAGCAATCCGGTATTTTCACTAATCTGGCAGTATCACGGTCCTATATCTGCCGGATTACTGAGAGTCTACTGTAATAATTTTACTGCATTAATATTTTTTGGTAATTAAAGAAACAAGTGCTCACCCATAGGTTCCTTGATTACTTTGTAATAATCTGGTGCTTCGGTTGGATCAACAGGCTCCATGAATGGCCAGGCACTTTTGTGGGTCTGGAATACAAATTTGTGTTATTGACAGTGGAGTTTCATAACTGATTAAACTACATTACAGTATATTAATCATACTGAATTTTCCTTATTTTACATCAAGTTTTAAAGATCAATTTCAATAATCCGCCTATAGGCGGAATGAGATACAACAATGAGAACAATGTTTTTCTATAATGTTTTTTACATAATTTTATTTAAAAAAAAACTCATTAATTTTTGTTTTTCAGCTCAAACAATTCCACTTACAGGATATAGGTTACTTTTATTTAATAGCTAGCGTTACCCAGCGTGCGTTAACAACTATTATTTTAAATGGTAATCTGTTGTTAACAATAAATAATAGAAAATATACCATGAACAAAAAGAGAATATTTTATTTTACTTAAATGGTAGGTGATAAACAATGTTTTTGGTTTTTTCATTAGGTGTATAAATATATAAGTTTTAGGCGTACCATCACGTGAGCATGCAACATACAGATGTCCGTGTGAAAAGCATACATTTTCTAAATTCAAACCGGAGATAGTCAGGTTCCCTTACTGTTAGGCACTGTAAGCAGGTGCCCTTGTGCCTTGTAGTGATTGAGAAAGCAAAACACAAAGGACATTTTAGTTCAAAGGGTAATTGGAATGATATCATCAATATTCTTGGGATTAAGACTATTTTTCCTTTGAACTTACCACTGATTGTTTGTTTGTTCGATTAAATTTCATGACATTTTTTTTATTGTCAGTCTGGTTCCGTTGCACAGCTTGGGTGGATATAACACAGTTTTGCGTTAGCATTACAACAATGTATTAGAGTTCCTTCTTTTAATGACTTTAAATGTGGTGGCATTCTTGGTGGCTCTGTTGAGTTAAGAAATTCGATGGGATGGTTGACAACCTTCTCCTCATCCATTACTGTGTCAATTGATCTATATTCTACTAACTCTCCTGACAATTACAATTGAATTTGTTCATTTAGCTTGTTAACATTACCATTTTAGGGGGCAAAATTGCACGTTCGCAAAGCCACTCTGGATCTTTGAAATATGTTGATAAGTCTGGTAATGCATTTTTCTACAACAGATTGAATATTTGGTTACAGTTTTGAAGAAAACCAATCCCTTTTGTGGTTTGGTCTATTTCAATTTTGCTATTCCCAAAGTCCAATAGCTGTTTTTAAAATGTTTCTGCAACTGTATCTTTCAGTAAATGTGCAGGCATGTTTGTTGAAAGAGTAATTTTTCAATGTAGAACCATAAGATGGTTTTACGATACGTCCAGAGTGCACGCCGATTCAGATTCAGATTCAGATTTTCGGCAACAGGAATAGCACTTGCATTCAAATGGAAGTGACCGTAGTGGCTGCTGGTTTTATTATTTTTTTTTATTCTTACTTTTAGGGTTACCACTAAAGGGTCTTCAGGATGTTTTGTTTGTTTATGTAGGTTACACCAGTTTCTTACAATACGTACAATTGTACAGTTTGATGTCCAATTTTAATAATACGTTTCAGTGGTTCCCACTCAACGCAATATAGAAAGAAGCATTTCCTGCTTCCACTGTGGCCAACAACAAAATATCTGACTCAGATTAACCAAGCGCCAAAAATCTGGATCTGAATCTGGACGTACCGTTAGGCATGTGTTATGCTTAGAAGAGGTTTAAAGTACACGAAAATATGTCACTAAAGGTAGACTAACATGTTAAGTTTAGTCAAACAATTGTTGAATTCAATCCGGATATCCGTAACCGAACCGAGCCAAAATTTGATATCCGATACTATCCGTTAAATTTATTCATTTATTCATGTAAATTGTCACAAATTACACCATATACAGAGGAGTTTCCTCAATGATAGATAACATGTCAAAAATATGATACAAAAATGTTAAAAACTAAATTAAAATGTAACTTAAACATAATGAGAAAACAAACTCTCCACATGAACCATTTACAAACCACTATTACTATATAAAATGAAATACTCTACTGAATAAAACATATGGCTCTTTAAATAGTTAACAAGTTTTCTTTTAAATGGTTTGGCAGAAGATTCATTGTGAATATGAGAAGGTAGTTTATTAAATAATCGGCTGCCTGTATAGAATGGTGTCTTTTCAAAAGCTGCTGTTCGATGTATCGGCATAGATAGATTACAATTACGTGTAGGATAGTTATGTGTAGATTTTAAAAGAGTGAATTTGTGAAAATTTTCTTTAACAAATAGAAGGGTATGTAGAATGAAAATGCAAGGTAAAGGCTGAATATCTAGTTTCCTGAAAATTGGTTTGGCTGATGCAATATGGGGGGAATTTGTCATAGCACGGACAATGCTTTTCTGAATCTTAAATATTGCCGGAGAAGACTGTGAGTTGCCCCAAAATATCACTCCATATGTTAAGTTTGAATAGATATATGCATAGCAAACCATTTTCAAAATGTTTATCTCCTGGATTTTTGATAAGTTTAGAAATAGAAAATGACCTTTATGGAGAATTTTTGTTAAAAAATTGACATGCTCATCCCACTTCAAGGAAGGATCAACGTGTAACCCTAAGAATTTATAACTATCTGCTGTCTGCAATAAGGGTTTGACATAAGAGTCATCAGAGTATTTTGAATTGGAGTAGTTGGAATGAAAATTAATAGCAAAAGTTTTATTTTTATTTAAAAGAAGGCCATTAGCTTTAAACCAAGAATTCATAGCAGATAAGTCATTTTCTAGCATTTTAAATAAATTTACCCAGATGGGGTGTTTACATAAAAGAGTAGTATCATCTGCATATGTTATTAATTTGGAGTTATGAACTGCATTTGGTAGATCATTAGCAAAGACTAAGTAAAGGAATGGCCCCAGAATTGATCCTTGAGGGACACCAGCTTTAACAATGGAATAATTACTTTGAACAATATTATTTATTTTGTTTCCTATTATCCAGATAGGACTGAACCCATAGGAGTGCATTACCACTCACCCCATAGTAATTCAATTTTTTCATGAGCAAGTCATGGTCAACACAGTCGAAGGCCTTCGACAGATCACAGAACACTTCGACTGTGTACTGCGATCTATCAACAGCCTCCGAAATGCCCGAAACAAACTCATAAATTGCCTTAGTTGTATTTCTACCCTTCCTGAAACCAAACTGGTTTTCACAAAATATGTGATTGCTCTCAAAAAAATTAGATAATCGGTTTAAAGCTACCTTCTCAAATACTTTAGAGAAAGTAGGGAGGATGGAGATAGGCCGATAATTGTCCAAAACTGAAGAATCCCCTTTTTTTAAAACAGGGTTAATAACACTATATTTAAGTATATCTAGGAATTTATGATGGACAAAACATCTGTTAATAAGAATTGATAAAGGATAACAGAGTTTATCAGAACAAGCTTTGACTAAAAAAGATGGAATGCCATCCCAGCCAGCCGATTTTGAAGACTTAAGACTTTTTATGACATTAAAAATTTCAGATTAAATATCCGACATTTCCGGATAGACTGTATATAATGACGTTTGAGACTGAGGTCAAAATGTTTAAAAGGTTACTTAAATCATCATTAGTTTCCCACAACGTAATAATTTCAACACCACTGGTTCCTATCATCTACGTTACAGCGGTCGATGAGTCATCGTCTATTAATGACACAAAACTAAAACATTCATATTGTCATTGTCGCCGTGGAAAATAACCGAATCAACAAATAAATACAGCAATGACAATCGATATACGAAGGTGAACATCGATGGTTGACCTATCGAAGCTCATCCCATCCCTATTCAATACGTACATCTGTCTCCAGCTACCAGCTGACCGGGCTATATTTTAGCGTGTGACATGCAGTCAGTTGTTTTCATTAGTGATAGATAGTGCAATCTGTTGGGATGGATAGTCAACGGAAACACTCAGCTTGAAGTCGACAACATGTCTACAGTATTTATTCCCTAACAGTAGGGCCTACCCAAATTATCTCAATTAAAGTCATTGTTATGACATTTATTTACATTTGTTTAGCATACAATGAAAACAAAAACAAGTAGGCTAGGCCTAGGCCTATTTTAAAACATTTGTATTTTTAATACAGTTTAGTATTTGAAAGAGTTGTAAGTTAGGTATGTAGGCTACTAAGCATACTTTACAATAGACCTAAGCCAAATCAATGACTTAATTTGTGGTCTAGGGACATAAAAACATATAAAAACACTTTCCAGGTAAATAAATGTAATGCACCGTACAGTAAAGTAATTTTGATCTGATCAAAAACATTGGTTTAATGTTACGATATATAAAAATGACGTTAACCTAGCTATTAATTTATTAAATAACAGTGATCTATCCGAATCCGAAAATATCCGATTCCGAACCTATTACTATCCGATCCGATCCATAACCATCCAATCCGAACTCAAATTTCACTATCCGCACACCTCTAAAAATAATGGTAATCGATATTTTGTAATCAATCTTTGATCATGTGAAAAATATTAAAATATTGATTTGAAATTCGCTGATTAACACTGTAACTTAAAACCCTCTGAGGCAGAGCCCTTTTGACGGATCTGCATATTTAATATTGGAGCATTTATTTGTATACATGGGGATCTTCTCTTTCACAATTTTCTCTATCAGGACTTTTTTTTTCTCCAGAGGAGAACATTGGGAATAAAAATTTTGAATTCCTGATATGTCTACCTCCCTTTTTTTTTACGTTATATTTCCTGTTCTCCAAATTCTCCTTGATTACCCAATCTTCTCTTCGGTACGATACCCAAAATTTAGTGTTTTCTTGGTAATCCTTAACCTGGGTCACTCTATGTCTTTTATTGAATTGTTGTTCCTGTTCCTCTATTCTTCCATTTGTCTAAGTCTATATCGATTGTGATTTGGAGTGGCTGGGTGTAGAACTGATTTATTCATTGGTTGATTTGTTCTCAAAATCCATCTCATTAATAGCTTTTATGGGCTGTAACCACACTCCTTTGGCGGCCATTATTTTCCTCAAGTTTCACGGAC